AACCATAAACTTCGAGTTTTTTATCGAAGTGAATTAATTTTCCTTTTTTATAAAAAAAAGTTTCTTGGCTTATTTCAGATGCCTCTGAGGATGATCTATGGATCGAAAGTACTTGGGCAAGATTTAATTAATTACTGTGTTCGATATTTGCCTTGTATACCATCAAAGTTCAATTATTCTAACATTCAACCTTATATTGATTCTTTGTTAAGATTTTCATAAAGGGTATGTACATATGTATCAAGAGGCTGATGGGTCTATAATTTTCTAATTTAGTAATATCGCCTTTTTTGTGTAACAAGACTATTACTGCATTGTTCCAGTCTTTTGGAATCGTACCCGCATGTAAGCATTTATTAAACAGTTCGCTTACTGATTTTAATACAATTTCTCCTCCTGCTTTTATTGCCTCGATAACGAGTCCATCATCACCAGGCGATCGATGGCTCTTCATTTCTTTTAAAGCTGCTCTTACTTCTGACACAGTAATGGGTAAAAGTATTTCCGATCCCTGATTTATGAGAGTCTTTACTCGTGTCGGAAAATTGTCTTGTGGTCTTTGGCTGGTATAGAGGTCTTTTTAAAACCCTCTTGTTATTTTCAGAATATTTTGTTTATCTGTTGTTGCCTTTCCGTCTTTATATCTCAGCTTGTATATTTCCTTTTTACTTTGTGTGAGTTTTCTTTTCATTATCTTTAAACCTTTGTTCTCTTCTACTGTTGAGTGATTACATTAGTATTATATCTTCTTACATCTTTTCTAATTTCCGCTGAAATTCTTTTATTTAGTTTGTTATATTCTTGTTTGTTTCCCTTTTCGTTCTCGCTTAGGTTTCGTCGTATCTCCATGAGAGCTTTTGTATCTTTGATAATCTTTTCACTTTTGGTGTCATTTTTCTTGCGAAATTTGAGTTGTGCGTTTCTAACCGAGTCTGTTATTAATTTATTGTGATCGTCGATACTTAGAGTTTTGGGATTATGACTCTGTAAAGTTTTGGCTATATTTTTATGTATGATTCTGGTGAATTCTAAACTAGACGTTTGCAACTGTTTATCATCTTTGCTCTTTCTTTTTGTAGATTTATCGTTACTCTAGCTCTTACTGGTCTGTGGTCGCTTCCTACTGATAGTTTATTGAGTACAGTAACATCTTGAATAATTTGCTTTTTGTCTGTTATTATATAATCATATTCGCTCTTAGTTATTCCGTCTGGACTAGCTCACGTCCATTTTCTATTCTGTTTCTTCTTAAAAAAAGTGTTCATTGCATACAGTTTGTGTTGCAGTAGAAAGTTGGTAAGAATGTCGCCTCTTTCGTTTCTTACTCCGATTCCAAAATCTCCGATTGCCATTTCTTGTTCGTCCTTTTTTCTTCCGAGTTTCGCGTTAAAATCTCCCATTATCAGATTGTAATGAACCGGTTACTGCTATTTTGCTTTTTTGATTTCCTCATAGAAGACTTCGACAATTTCATCTTCGTAATCGCTGGTGGGGGCGTATACCTGGATTAATTTCAGATTGTATCTCTTATTTAGTCTTCGATTTATATACATAACTCTTGGGGAAATGCAGTCAATGCTCTGCATATTTTTCTGTAATTTTTTGTGTACCAATAAACCTATTCATCCAGTTGTCGATTCCGTTTCCCCTTTATAGTGGAATATGTTTTCTGATTTTAGTTTGACCTGATCTTCACCTCTTCTTTTGACTTCGCTAATTCCTATAATATCCCATTTCACATGTTTGAGTTCTTCCTCCAGTTCGGTCATTTTTTCATCCTTAGATAAGGTTCTTACATTATACGTAATTATGTGCAACGTTCGTTATGAGCTACCGGGGACTGAGGGCCGTTTTCTTGAATGTCTGTTCATGCTGAAACTATCCTTGGAGGGACGTCCACAACCCGAGTAAGCAACCACTTCTGTGTTCACTATTTTAGCACAATGTTCAAATTTCATAAGTGATACTGCTAGAAGTGATCGAAATTGTAATTGTGTTATTTTACTATTATTTGCAATATTGTAAATTTTCCAGTTACTTTCAACTGTGCTATTAATAAGAATTATAAAAAGAGGCCTTCATCATTTCTTTCCTCTTATTCTAATTCTAATTCGGTTATTAGCAATGCCATTATCGTGCAAATGCACACCACCTATAAACATATTATATTTGGCTACCACATAAGGCTCAGATACGAGAATATTTTTGTGTTCTTTCCGACTGTATCGTTTTGTTTGAACAAGAAGTAGTAATGTGCACGTATTTGTTATTATCGTAACAGCAGAATTATTATTCCATCTCACGTTATTAATTTCTTAATTTTTAAAAACATCTTAACTGAATCTAATAGGTAAGTTTTTAATATATTAATTGTACTTGCATGTTTCGTATACCTTCAAAATCATGTACATGTTCTTATTTTATTGTATAAATTTTGATTTAATACTTTTTTTCTTGTAAGTAAAAAGTGAAAAGTAGGGTTATATGGCCATGGCCATAATTATCTTACGTGGCTATATTACTCTACAATGCAATTTGTTTTGCTGTATTGGTATTATTTCTTTTATTACAGAAACAAAAATATGCCCCAGTATCAGCACAGGGGCCTACGAGGCAAATGGACGGAAGAAAATTTGTCAGCTGCTTTAAGAGCGGTGGAAAATGGGACCGCAGTTAACACAGCTAGTCGTACATATCACATCCCAAGCCGGACACTTCGACGATATTTAGAAGAGGGAAAATAAGTAAAGTCTTGTCTAGGGCGAAAGACTATACTTACAAATGCCCAAGAAGCAGAATCAGTTCAACGTATCCGTTATCCGTCTTTCGCAAATTGGATATCCACTTACTGCAAAGGTACTTTGTAAGTGTGTATATCGGTTTACAGAACTCAATAATATCTAAAATCCTTTTCAAGAAAGCAAAGGAATAGCTGGTCGTTATTGGCTACGTGGTTTTATGAAGCGCAATCCTCAAATCAGACCTAGGAAAGCACAAAACTTAAATCCGGCTAGGACACAAAAGCTTAATAAATTTATTGTAAAAGATCATTTTACTAAGTTGGAAGGTATTTTAAGAGAAATGGACAAACTTGATAAGCCCGAACGGATATATAATGTAGACGAGAAAGGTTGCAGGTTAACACTTCACCACCAGCAAAAAGTTTTGGCGCAAAAAGGGGCTAGAAGAGTACATGTTGTTGCAAACGAACATGCAGAAAGTGTTACCATTGTTTCTTGTGGTAATGCTCTAGGTACAGCAATCCCTCCAATGGTACTTTTTAAGGGTAAACGTAGTAAGCCAGAATGGGTTGACTCACTACCTCCAGGTGCTGTTGTTTAAATGACTGCAAAAGATAGCATGGATATTGAAACGTTTTCAGTTTGGCTTCAACACTTTTCAAAATTTAAGGTTGCTGGTCCATGTATTATCATGTTTGATGGTGCAAGATGCCATTTGGATCACACTATTGTAGAAACTGCCGAAAGATACGAAATTACTCTATACTGTTTACCTAGTCATACTACTCACGAGTTCCAACCAATGGACAAAGCTATATTTAGAGCCTTTGAATATTACTGGGATGATGAAGTTATGAAATATTATTCTATTCATAGCGATCGTGTTATTTATAAACAGAGATTTGGGCCAATTTTTTCTACAGTTTGGGACAAAACAATGACACCATCTAATATAAAATCGGGGTTTTCTTCAACGGGAATTTATCCATTCAACCCAGAAGCTATCCCAGAGATAGCGTTTGCCCCTAGTACTATCACATAACAACATCAGGAAGATAAAGAGAACGTCACATTATCAGAAACTAACGCTTGTAATAAAGCAGATGATTTATCCATGCCATCAACTTCAGGCATTCAACAAAAATATTACCGTTGTATTCTACTTTGGGATTACAACCGAAAAATAGCTCAAAAGAAGTATGTCTGGTCACTGACAGTAGTAACTATTGTCGTCCCTCTACTTCGGATTTTCAACCGAAGAATCGTCCAGAAAAACCATTTCTAGACACTGATAGTAGCAACTCTGACTTATCGTTTAGTTTGCATGATTCTAGCAGTGATGAAGTTATTGATTCAGAAGACGATCACAGTAATTTCTCAAACATCCAAAATACTTCATTCACAATTATGCTCGAAACACCTGAAAATGCAGCAATAAAGAACGATAACAAAAAGCCTAGAAAACCAGCTATCAACAGTCGAGCCCAAGTTGTTACTAAAGATTTATTCAGTAGATGTATTGGAAAAAGTGATTCAGAAAATATTGAAGCCAATACGCATACTACAGATGGTAAAAGAGTCTCGTCAATGCTACGAAAATTACCCAATCCAAAAAACAAATTTAAGATCTTGCCTGCTAAGAAGAAGGGAACAAAAAAACAAGAATCTTGGTTCTGCAAATTATGCAAAGAAGACAGGATGGTAGATATGAGGCTGTGTAGCGTATGTAGCACTTATATCCACGAAGAGTGCATGGGTCCCACAGCTAAAGACAAAATTGATACGTTGTTATGCCCTGATTGTGAAAAATAAGACAATATTAAGTTTCTGTACTGTATTTGCTTAACATGTAATAAAACTGTTAAAAAATCTGAAACTATTTTATTCTATTTTGTGTTAAGCTTCATAATTAGATATAAAAATTTACTTTCTGTAGAGTGGCCATATTAGCGACCCCATGTTGGTCATATGGCCAATAGCAGCATTTTTTTAATTAAGTCATAAATATCATATTTTTATCAATTTTTGAAAAATTAAACAATAAATATCTATTTAGATAACCCATGTAACTGTAATAACAGTTACTTTAAAAAAAACTATATTTGGCCACAAATACGGACATTTCTTAAGGTGGCCATATTACCTGCACATACCTTATAAAAACAAAAGATCATGAAAAAAAGGGTTAAATAAATTAAAGAAAACACGTTTCACAAAAATTATAATTAAACGTTTTTAATTAACTCTCATGTACATTATTTAATTTTTATTTAAAATTGAATTAACAATATTTCCTATCTCTTCGCCTTCTAATACAGAAACATGGTTTCCCTTGGCCGTTATTATGTCCACTTCATTTACAGCAATGCTTGGTACTCCGCGGTCAGGTTCAATATCCGGTATTATTGTCTCTTCTGGTACGATAAGAGTTATTTTTGATTTAACTTTTGTAAACGACTGCACATAGTTCATAGCTAATTGTGTTTTATTGTAAATTCCGTTGACTAGGAACCTATTGAAGGCTATCGATTCTTCGGAAAAATTATTTTGTTTCAAAATATCTAAACAAAAATCAAGTTTTTCATTCCACGTACTGCATTTGAATATGTTTTCCTAGAAAAGATAAATAAAATAAGTTTATAGAAGAAAAATTCAGATTATTACCATACCATTTTTTAAAATGGCGTAGATATATCAAGAAAAACAGAACTTTAATTCTATCAAAACGTAACTAAACAATTAACAATTATTTTGTTATTATTTATTCATATCAAATTGAATGCCACTCTTTAAAAAAGTAGGCTATTAGAGAATTAAAAAGAGAACTATTATAAAGAGCTAACAGGATGAATTTACATTCATCATTACATTCTTTACTATGAAATTGTGTTTTCGCGTGTCTTATCTTCTGCCTGATTATTGCGTGGATCCTCTTGTATTGGTTTTTATCTTTATTTCTGACTTCTTTTCTTTGATCCATGAAGTCTCAGTATTTCTTCTGTCATCCACCCTTATTTTTTTTTTGCTTTTAGCGCACTCAATTTTGTTTCTTGAACAGTCTTTAAGATGTCTTTAATTCTCGTCCAGTTTTCCTCAGTACTTTCTTTTTTGATTGATGTTAACTTTATTTTTTGTTCTAATATACTAGTTATTTCTTGTTTTACAGTATCATTTAGCATCTTTTCTGTATCAATAGTAACTGTTTGCTTATTCGTCCTTGCAACTCTTTTTAATCTCAGTCTTATTTTTCCTGCTAAAATATTGTGATCTGTTGGTACATCTGCGCCTGGGTATATTTTTACTGCTAATACTGAATTTCTGTATCTCTTATTTATACATATGACGTCTATTTGGTTACGAACAACTCGATCAGGTGTACCTGCTGGTGATTTCCAGGTGTAAAGACGACGTTTTGGAAGTTTGAAAATTGTGTCTGTTATTATTAATTGATTTTCTACGCAAAAAGATGCCAATATATCTCCTCTTTCATTTGGTATTCCCAGACCATATTTTCCTATGATATCTTCCTGTTCACCTTCACAAATCTTTGCATTAAAATCTCCCATGATAATATTGAGATCGTGTTTCTTTGTAGATGCTAATACTTTTTCTAAATCATGATATAATTTTTCAATTTCTTCTTGTTCATAGTCTTGTGTGGGTGCATATACTTGTAATATGTTCACATTGATTGTTGTTGATTGTATTTGTATCATCAGTATCCTGTCTGAGAATAGGACGACGTTTTTTACAGCTTTATCTGTTTCCTTCGACACAATTATTGCTACACTATTTTTGTGTTTTGAGCTGTCTTCTCTTTAATAGTATACAATGTGATCATCTACAGTTACTTTTCCAGACCCTGGCCATCTCATTTCACTTATTCCAAGGATACTTATATATTGAATATGTGAATTTTTGGAACATCCTGTAAGATTGTAACTAATTTTAAAATGTGGAGTTTAAAGCACCCTATAATTTTTGTTAATAACTTTTTTTTGTAATTTTTACTATAACAGATCTACTGAGCTTCCTTACACTAATCAATCATCCTGTATACAAAAGTATTTAAGACACAATTTGTTTACAGTTTTATGATCGTGAATAATGTATAAAAACTATTGTAGAGAAATAATTTATGAATATTTGAAATCAACAGTAATATCTGTTGTAAACCAAACTAAAAGATGTTTATCGGTATTTCTCCACAATCAATAAAATTGTATATATGTGTATACACACATATATAATATATATGTGTGTGTCCGATTAAACCACCACTTGAGATCAAAGTAAGGCAGCATATTATTAGACTAAGCGAGATCTGTAGAAATTCAGACCATAATGGACATTTTCCATAGCAAGCTATTTTTTTACTGAAATCCCTTCAGGATGTCCCAATATCGATAATTACGATATGCGCCAGTCGCAAACCCTGTGCTAAATTTTTTATTTAACAAAATCCGAAACCAATTGAAAATTTCTCATTTTTTTGCTCCTATTTTCGTTTATAATTTGAAAAACATTGACCCTAAAGAAAAAAATATAAAAAGTTAAAAGTTTCGTTATTCAATATTTTGTTAGCTAGAAATTAAAAATTTAATCCGTAAAATAGTTTCGAAACACAGCCATTTTAGTGTTGCTTCTTAAAAGACAGAACATATTGATTTTTCACGTTGAGAACGCCTATGAATAACTGTTCTGATGAGACCTATTAGGTCGAAATACGTAGCAACAGATACATAGGATTTGTAATGATTGATTTGAAATCAAATATTTGCTGTCTTTTTCATGAAAATTTAATGTTTATTGTTGAAAAATAGCAATAATTGGAAAAAAAGTACAAAAAATGAAGTTAATACTTTAAATGTTTTCGACTTTCTAAACTTGACTTACAAGCTCCATATTCCGCCCAGAAAAGCTTTTTTCCGCAAATCGCCAGGAAATTTTGACATTCCTGTCAAAATTTCTTGAAGAAAAAGTCAGGACTTCCTTACTGTAAGGAAATGTCATTTCCTTACTGTAAGGAAATGATATTTCGGTACAGTTGTTTAGTGTTCTACATAAGTTTGACAATTCAACCTCAATACGTTTCCATAGTAACCCAAGTAATTTTATTAGGAATTTCAAAGCACCATTTATTTGGGAATAAAATTATCGCGTTTTTTTTAAATCAATCAATATCTGTCGAATTTTAAACGATTTGCGGAAAAATAGTATGTTTACCTCGTAGGAAAAGCCACATTCCTGGACTCTGTGTTGCTAAGTCTCGGCTTGCGCCTCGACTTAGCAATCTTCACAGTCGTCCAGGAATGTTAAGCTTTTCCTACCCGGTAAACAATGTACTATTAATATGTTTAAACCGTGTGCTAAATTTTGTTAAGATCGGTCGGATAGCTTTTGCATAATAATTTTGCAATCCAGCCTACTGGAAAAAAGTCGCAAATTTTCAAATTTATAGTAGGCCCTAAATAAGGCCCTCAGATAGTTGCAAATTTTTTTACCTATAAAGGAAGGCCCAAACTTTCAAACGCTATTAGTAAAATTTAAATCGGTTTACTAGGAGAGCCTAGAAATTTTTTTAAAGGTTTAAATATTTTTTAGCCTAAAAAATGTTTAAAACTTTAAAAAATCTGATAATGGTTAACTAAATCATTTTTACCTGTTGTTTTAAAATAATATCGCTGGTTACAGACGATGTTAGTAAATAGCACATAAGAGATGTTTGATATTCTCCTTCTGAAAGTGCCTTAAAAGGTTGTGTTATCTTGCTTGTAAATGTCGGGCCACCATCTATTATTATTACATCTCCTATGTATCCTTTGTTTTCTAGTAAATGTACAACCTCTAGGGCTATTGCGGAACCAAAAGAATAAGCTATTATTTTAAACTTTTTATTTTTGTTTATGCGATCTTCTACTTTCTAAAAAAAAACACATTGGTGTAAGTAAATTTATATTATTTGGTGTAAGTATATTTATATTAGTAAATTTATATTATAGAAGTTTCTCAATGGGTTAGATTAAAGTGATGTAAATCATTCTCAAAACAAATAAAAGCCCAGGTCCAGACGGAATATACCCAGAAACGCTCAAATTAATCAGCGAAGAAAATATCGAATTATTTGTCCTTTTATTCAATTGCATTTATGATACAGGTAAAATACCCCAAGATTGGCTGGAGTCAATATTCATCCCACTACCAAAAAAGCCAAACCCACAACACTGCAATGAGTTCCGTCTGATAAGCCTTATGAGTCATGCAGTAAAAGTCCTACTAAAAATCGTACATAATCGTATCTATAGAAAGTGCGAAACAATCATCGGAGACGATCAGTTTGGATTCAGAGCCGGCATGGGAACGAGAGAAGCCCTGTTCAGTTTACTAGTTCTCGCCCAAAAATGCTACGACCAACAGAAAGATATATTTATATGCTTTATAGACTTCGAAAAAGCATTTGATAGAGTAAGACACGACCTACTATTAGAACGTTTGCAAGAAGTCGGTTTAGATGGAAAAGACAAATTCTTAAAAAACTTGTACTGGAACCAAAAAGCCAGAGTTAGGATCGAAGGTTCCACATCCGCAGAAGTAGAAATTAGGAGGGGAGTTAGACAGGGATGTGTTCTGTCGCCTCTGCTGTTTCATCTTCACTCCGAGTTTCTATTTAAAGAAGCATTGGAGGATTCCAAGGATGGAGTCAAGCTGAATGACGTAAATATCAACAGTATCAGATACGCCGATGATACAGTTTTAATTGCGGATTCCGACTCAGGTCTACAACGACTCATCGACAAGACCAACTTGACCTGTGAGCAATTTGGTATGAAAATAAACATTAAAAAAACCAAAGTGATGTCAATCCGAAAAAACCAAAACGTACCTCAACCTTGCACAATAAATGGGCACATCTTAGAACAGGTCAATAGATTTAAGTACCTGGGATGTTAGATCGATAGCAGCCTAAATCCTGATCAAGAAATAAGATCGAGAATAGAACAGGCTAGAAAATCTTTCGAAAAAATAAGAAAACTGCTTTGTGATTCTCGAATAAAACTCGAAATTCGACTACGTTTATCAAAATGCTACGTCTGGTCGACTCTTCTATATGCAGTTGAAACGTGGACCCTTAAAACATCAACCGTAAATAAATTGGAGGCCTTTGAAATGTGGATCTACCGGAGAATACTCAAAATTTCATGGACATCGCATACCTCAAACGAAGAAGTGCTGCATAGAATAGGCAAGGAAAGAGAACTTTTTAACACCGTAAAAGTAAGAAAAACATCATACCTAGGCCACATACTGAGAAATAATAAGTACCAATATGCCCAACTTATAGTGAAAGGAAAAATCGAGGGAAAGAGAGGCCTAGGAAGGAAAATACTATCATGGCTCAGAAACATCCGACAATGGACAGGGCTAAATTTTGAACAGCTAATAAGAACAGCTGAATATAGAGAAGAGTTTAAAATTGTAGTAGCCAACCTCCATTGAGGAGAGGGCACTTTAAGAAGAAGAAGAAGATGTAAATCATTATACCTTTCGTTGTTATGGAAATAAGAAAAACAAAAATTAATTTACAATCTGTCACATAAGATTGCGTTATTACTGGTTATATATTGCATAGAAATGAATTTGTAATGTATCAGCCATATACCCAAGGAAAACAACCCCACCCCAAGTACAATCGTTACTCAGTTAGCCCCGTATGTAACAAGTCAGCGTAGCAAGGAAATAAAAGGAACAAAATAAGGGGTAGTCAGCCTAGAAAAGAATAATATTTAATTAAATAATTATTATATACTATAAATTAAATAAAGAATAAAAATAATGCGACATAGTTTAACGTATACATTTCAAATTAAACAAAGAATGAAAATTCGACCTAGTTTAAGTGTATTACACAAGTCTCGATATCAGACCAGCCCGAATTTTTAAAAATTACGAAACCATAGACCTTCGTTGGAAAATAATACAATGAAGCGACACGCCAGCGATAATAATTGAGCTGAGCTAGCAGGGCACACCATCGTATCATCCATTTCATATCAGCGAAAACTCAAGGGGTAAGGCGCGACGCCTCGGTACTGTGACGGTAATTGAGAGTACGACTTGCGGGACATAAACGAAGTAAGCGGCACCAGGGAGTGTTCGGTGCTAGTAGTTCCCGGCGACCGGAGCCAGTGAGCCTAGTGTCCGGCGACCCGAAGAGTAGTGTTGACGACCGGAGTGAGTGAGGACTCGACGATCTAGGGGTGTGCTAGTACAATCGCCGACCGATGTGTATTCAGCTCAGTGAGCGCGGTAGTATATCCGACGGGAACGGTAGTACCGTGTAAGTACAGGATTTTTCGTATCTCGGAAATTCGTGATAGAATCCAGTACTCTCAGCAGATTGTACCTGAGTTCCAGTTGGACTGCAAAGGTGTATTCATTAGTTAGGGCCTAAATACGCTCAGATAACTAAACATAAATAAAAAGAAAAAAGAGGTTAATCTTTGTAAATGGGTATATTTATTTAAAAAACCCTTAACAGGGCCACATCAATAAAACAAACGTTTTCGGACCAAACAGTCCATCATCAGGTTTTTAAAATCTAAAAATGCTAGGTCACAATGCCTGAGCCACCAAAATACTAGGGTAAAAACCCTTTAAATTACATTTAGTTATGAAATATTGTACATTTTGTTGTAAAATAACTGTGATGTTCAGTATTATATTAAATTTGACTATAGGTAACACATGGCTCAATCGGGTTCCAGAGCCGATGAGAGAGAACCTCTACACTCGGAGAACAGCGTCGAACTGCGTTTTAAATAAATATACTCATTTACAAAGATTAACCTCTTTTTGTTATACGTGGTATACAGCCAGCTACAGGAATTTTTCCTTGTGGATTTTAAACATAAATACTAATCTAGGGGAAATATATAAGAATCGTAGATTGTCCACCCTTTATATTTATTGCTAAGCTCTCTTATCGTCTCCTTTCGCAACTGAATAAACAATAATTAGATATAACTGATATCTTGTTGTCTTAGTTGTAGTATACAATTTATTTAATATATTGTAAGTTTGAAATTGGGTTTTATTGTTCTTTTTCGGCCATTTACAGCTAGAGACTAAAAGAGAACACATTTCGCTTGTACATTTCTCCGGCTTATAAAGCAAGTCCATAGACTCAACTCTTTACAGGGCCTGAAATCTGGACGTCCTTCATCCCCGTATCCTTATTTTTCCCCTTCCTCCTTGTAAATCCGCGAGGGCGAAATCGCGTAAATTCAGACTAGTTGGACCAGTAAGCTTTGCCCCCTCTCGCAGGGATAAATATCCCTTAACATTATAGACGTGGTTATTACAGTGGTGAAACAGCGTTTATTACAGTGGTGACAGCGGTCTTGCCTCCGCTCGCATTACGAATTTCAACATTGATTACTTAAAAAGTAAAGCAGAATCGCAGTAAGTATCGCAAAAATCGAAAGACGCTTATAAAAAAAATACAAGTTTATTAAATATATGGAAGAGTAAAAGTTAACTGATACAGACAAACGAGTTGTGCTGGTTACCGTCAGAAAATATCGAAACAATACAAGCCGTCGACTATGTAGGCTATCTATTCGAAATTGAAAAGTATGTTGAAGATACACTCTCCTCCTCCTCTATCCTTTATCCTTCGTAAGGATGTTGCGATGTTATGGTATTTGACCAATGGTTCCTATCCATTCTTCTCTCACATGGGCGCAGTGTGCAGCCTTAGACAGAGAGTAACCGGTAGCGCACTTTATTTGGTCTGACCATCGGAGTGGCGATCTTCCTCGAGTTCTTTTACCATCTACCTTGCCTTTAACCACCAACCTCTCCATGCCTTCCATTCGTCTGGTAATGTGCCCAAATTACCTCAATATATTTTGGTTGATGATTGTGGTAAGCCTAGTATTGATATCAAGTTCTGTCAACATTAAGACATTTGTGCGATGTGCAGTCCAGGGTATGCATATCATTATACGATAAACCCCACTATACGTCGTGAGTCGGACTTTTTAATGGTCCAAGTTTCTAACGCATAGGTAGCGATAGGAAAGATACTACTAGGCGCAGTTTCATGTTCCTGGTTATGTCTGTATCTTTCCAGATTTTAGTAAGTTTGACCGATGCTGATCTGGCCGTTGTAAGGCATTGACGTATCTCTTCTTCGCATCCACCATCGTTTGTGGTAACAGAACCGAAGTAATTGAAACGGCTTACTACTTCAAACCCCGCTACGTTTCGTATTTCCCATGTTTGATTGGGATCACCAATACTATTTAACTGGGAATATGCCACAATTAAAAGTAAAATACCGATTTCCAAAAGAACGATTTCCGAAGTGGAAATTGAAACGGCAATAAGCGTATTTTAACCTTTAATTGTGGCTTATTCCTAGTTAAATAGTAATTAATGGCATTGATAGTCATCACATATTTATATACTACAAAGCAGCCTACGACTCTGTTAATAGAAGAGAAATATTTAAAGCAATGAAAGAGCTAGGAATACCAAATCAGTTGGTAAATTTACCAAAATTAACTCTTGAAAAAGGTGAATGTATAGTATAAATTCATGGGAACTGTCTGAACCTTTTAAAACAAATAATGGACTGCGCCAAAGACCCTCTCTTATGTGTACTGTCCAATCTGGCTCTGGAAAAAGTAATACGTATGTCACACATCACAACCACTGGTTCAATATATAATAAATCAGTACAAATCCTGACCTATGCTGATGATATCAATATTGTTATGAGAAAAAAGCTGTAAGAGAGGCGTATGTAGCATTAAAAGAATTAGCTACAAAAATGGGTTTAATAATAAACACCAACAAAACGAAGTATATGAAAATAAGCACGCAACCACAAATCATTCTTCTGTAATGATAACATGCAACTTCAACTACGAAAGCGCATGGTTAAATGCTACATTTGGTCAGTCCTCTTATACGGCGTCGATGCATGGACATTAAAAATATCTACCATTAATTATCTGGAGGCCTTTGAGATGTGGCTGCACAGACGTATACTAAAATTTCCATGGACGGGTATGCTGACAAATGTGGCAGTCCTTGAGACAGCAAATGCTGCTCGCGAGCTGCTTGATAACATCAAATGTAGAAAGATGGCCTATTTTGGACACGTAGTAAGGGGAGACCGATATAATATTCTTCAACTTATTATGATGCAGAGGAATTGGTAGAAAGCAGGCCTCTTGGTTAAAGAATATCAGGGAGTGGACAGGAATAAAGAACGCTGAGCAACTATTTAGAATAGCTCGAGACATAAACAGTTTCGCCATGTTAATCGCCAACGTCAAGGGGACTTGATATTGCATTTTAAGAAGAAGAAGGCTAGGACCCACGCAGAGTTGTAAAGCCAGAATGATGATGATGATATTATAGTCAACTTACCGGTAATAATGATTCGGCCAGTACTTGAACATTTGCGTAATCCACACAATCCCAATATTGATAGGAGATGGCAGGAGCTGTTAGTTGAGATGCCAAAGTATTAAAGGTTTTAGCAAACCCATCAATACCAGGGAAAAGAAGAACTGTGTCGCTCTTTCCATTTTCTTCCGACTTTGTAGGTAGTACAAGTTCAATATATTTTATATTCTTTTCGTCTTCTTCGGTCAAATTATTAAATAATATTGCATTAAAATCACTAAATTTGTCAGCTTCTGACGTCACGGTATTTGTTTGTTGTATTTCCTTTAATCTGAAAATGAAGCAATTGCAATTTTTAGTAATTTTATTCGTTTAAGATTCAATTAAACATTAAACATTTAAGACACTATATATACACAGTTGTCAAATGATTAAAAGTAATACAATCACTTAATAGAAAAGTATTAACAATTAGAAATTGGATAATCCCAGCATTCTGCTTCCCAAAAAGCCAATGCAAAGGAGTGCAATGAACATCGCACGTAAGTGTTCTTTAGATATTAATCAGGAAGTATATGCCTGTTTCATTGATTTTAAGAAGGCATTTGACAGAGTGCAGCATAATCGACTTAAATAAATTTTATTAAATAAAAATATAGACAGTAGAGACATTAGAATCATCTGTAACCTTATTGGAATCAAACAGCAAAAGTGAAAGTTAAAAACGAACTGACCAAGAATATCCAGATTCGCCGTGGGGTCCACCTAGGGAGTATTTTATCACCCTTGTTATTCAATTTATGCAGTGAAGCCATCTCAGAATTAGCGCTTGCCAAGATCAGTGAGGGCCTTATAATAAACGGTGAGCCACTTAATAACATAAGATATGCTGACGACACCGTCCTTCTGGCAGAAACACTAGAAGAACTGCAACACTTGCTGAACAACTAAATATATATTGCAACGACTATGGACTAAAAATTAATTTGAAGAAAACCAAGTTCATGGTATTTACAAAAGCACAAAACATCAAAGTTAAGCTAGTACTAGATAATACAGAAATTGAACAAATATCTTCGTACAAATACCTTGAAGCATGGATCACAGAAGATACTGATCAGACAAAAGAAATAAGATGCCGCATTGAAATTGCGCGGTCAAATTTTAATAGAATGAGAAAACTTTTTTGTAATCGCGATATCAATATATCGCTCCGGATAAGAATGCTTCGATGTTATATTTTCTCTACCCTTTTGTATGGAGTTGAAGCTTGGACACTTAAAAAAAAATCCAACATTAAAAACCTAGAAGCATTCGAAATGTGGTGTTACCGACGTATTTTGAAAAGATCATGGATGGATCGCAAAACAAACGAACAAGTTCTCGAACAACTAGGAAAACAATGCGAAGTTTTAAATTCCATAAAAATCAGGAAATTGGAATACTTGGGGCACATCATGAGAGGTGAAAAGTACGAACTACTAAGGAGTATAATGTAGGGTAAAATCAATGGAAGAACAAGCGTAGGAAGACGTAAAATCTCGTAGCTACATAATCTCCGTGAATGGTTTGGATGCAGTTCAATTGAACTATTCAGGCGAGTAACCAATAAAATTATAATTGCCAGAATGATTTCCAATCTCCGATAGGAGTGGAACTTAAAGAAGAAGAAACATTCTACGGAAATTATTGTCTACTTCTAGCATTGTACTCCCAAACTGTACAATGTTCGAAATGATCAAAATTCAAAATATTTATCGAAAGGCTCATAGATTCGAATCGATTATTATTTGTTAATTTGAACATTCATTGTACTTTTTTTTGATATATTTATATTTTCTATTTATATAGTTCTACACAGTGCTAGTCAAAAATCCGCTAAACCCCCTCTGTGGCTCAGTGGTAAGAGCGCCTGCCTTTAAACCTAAAGGTCGTGAGTTCGAATCCCACCTGGGTGGAAATTTTCGTTTATTAAAAAAAATTAATAAATGAAAATAATTTCTATCCTTGTGTGATCGGTACACACTGGAGGGACCGCAGACGTTCGGATACAATTAGCGTCTCTTAGCAAAGACAATGACGTCGACTTTGCTAAGTATCAAGACAATTACTCTACACATACAAACACACATACACACTACATTAATACACTTATCTTGATTGAGACTGGCTGAATGACAATTGTTTAAGCCAAAACACACACACAAAAAAAAAATCCGCTCCCCCCTTATATCTTTTGAACGGGTATTGATATAATAGTGAAATTGGTGTGGATCCCAAAAAAAGGTGTGGAAGATGATAAGGAGACAAAAAACAGAAATGAATGAATTTGTACGCATAGATAACATTACGGAGGAACAATGGACTGAGAATTTCACGAAATTATATGAAGAGGGAAAGGAAGAGAACAGCGAAATAATCATTAACGAAACCCACGATAGAGTACTAATGTCAGAAGAAGAGCTACAAGAACGAATAAAAGAATTAAAAAACAGAAAAGCCCCTGGTTCTGATAGGATAAACAATGAACTGCTAAAATATGGAGGAACAACACTACGCAAGTGGCTCCTAAAATTATTCGTCGATATAATAAATACCGGAGTAGTAACAGCGGAATGAAAGGAAAGTCTCCTGCTACCGATACTTAAAAGCAGAGACTAAAGAAATCCTGAAAATTATAGAAGCATTAGTCTGATGTACAATAAAATTGTTAACGGGAGTCATACAAGATAAAATCGAGGAAACAGCGAATGAAATTCATGGCAGATGAACAACAAGGCTTCCGGAAGAACCGCAGCACAATAGACGCAATTTTTATTATCAGACAAATAATAGAGAAGTCTATTGAATATGGAAAATTAGCATAAGTGTGCTTTGTAGATTTAAAAAGTACTTTGACAGGGTGAAGCGAAATGACATCTTAAATTTATTACAAGCTGAAGAAATAGACCATCAGATAATAAGGGCAATTAATGAAATTAACAAGAACAATAAAATCAGTTATAATGCTAACAGGAGAAACAGAATGCATAGAACTAAAAGGAGGAATCCGCCAAGGAGACTCGCTCAGCCCATTGTTATTCAATATGGTAATGAATCAAATAATTCACGAAGTAAAAAAACGACACGGATACCACATGGGAGCGCATAAAATCACGATACTATTCTACGCCGATGATGCAGTACTAATTGATGATAACCAAGATAACCTACAAAGGCAGCTCCACACCTTCAATATCACAGCAAACAAACTTAATATGAGAATATCAGTAGAAAAAACTAAATGTATAGTGATCAGTAAAAGCCGCGTAGATGCAAACCTGAAATAGACGGCAAAATTGTAGAACAAATAATGAAATTCAATTACTTAGGAGTAGAGATTACTAGTGACATGAATATAAGAACAGAGACCACAAGGCAAGCATTAAAAGTAAGTGGTTGCCTCCGAGAAACCATATGGAGAAACAAATATCTGACCACGGAAAGCAAAATGAGAGTATACAAGACAACAGTAAGACCAATCTTAACACATGCAGCGGAGACAAGGATCGATACAAGAAAGACGAAACAACAAATCAACAATATCGAAATGAAAGTATTAAGATCAATACGGGCATATTATTAAGAGACCGATAAACCAACAGAAGTATACAGTAGTAGAAGTATATGACAGTTCTTCTCTTTCATCATTAAATAGTTGTTGGATGTAATTGGTCCAGTGATATAATCTCTCCTTCATATCAGTAATAATATCCCCTTTACCATTTTTAAGGATATTCGTTCTTGTACGTTTTCTAGAACTTATCATTTCTTTGATTTTTTTGTATAAATTAAAGCTATCATACTTTTTATCCAGATCTTCTATTTTCTTCCATCTGTCGGAGAGCCACCTCTCTTTTGTCTCTCGAATTTTCTTTATGATGTTTCTCTGAACTTCTTTGTATTTATTCAGGTCTTTTGCTTTATGTTTTCTTCGTTCTTCCATAAGTTCCAGAAGTTTTACTGTTATCCAAGGTTTTGTTTGTTCTCCAAGTGGTTTGAGGGTTTGTTTTGAAACTGACACAAGGGCATGTTGAATTTTTCCCCATTTTTGTTCAATAGTTAGAGTTTCCGCATTATCTTCTTTGACTTTTCTTAAGTTCTCGTTTATTTTAAATTTTGTTTCCGCATATGTGTTATCTTGTTTGAGACGTCTTGTATCCATGATTTTCTTGGTGCCAGGGCTGTTGACCTTCTTTAGTTTCACTCTCATCGACAAAAAAACCGGGTTGTGATCGAAGGATATGTCCGCTACTAGATAAGTTTTAGATCATATTATAGAATTTCTATTACACAAAAAAATCTAATGATGTGATGTCCGGTGACCTAGCCGGCCATTCCATTGTACCTCGTCGTCTAATCCATCTACCACGATGTTCCTCATCTAGATAACTTCTTACTGCACCATAGTGGTGAGAAGGAGCACCATCTTGTTGAAACGTTATTTCCAAGTTGCAAAATTCATCTGGATTATCTTCCAGATTTTCAAGTATTCATGCTTTAATTGCATTTTGTAACATATCCAGATATACTTTACCGGTTAAGTAAGAATTGAGAAAAACAGGCTCAACTATGTAGTTTCCTATCTAATCTGTCTAAACATTTTTTTTTTTTTGAAAATGCCTATGTGTTTCACGAAAGACGCGTGAATTGGTGTCACTCCAATACCTCCCATTGTGCGTGTTAACATTTCCATTGCGAGTAAAAGTACTTTCGTCACTAAAACAAATTGTTTTTATATAATCGGGCTGTTGGTTAACATATTTACACAGAATTCTAGTCTTCGGTCAGGGTCATCATTTGAAAGATGGTGCACAATTTTCAATTTGGATGAAATTTGTTGTTCTTAGAAGAAATTGTTCTACAATAACGTGAAAATATTAGTGAAGTAGTTCAAAGCTTCAAGTGGTAGGTATTTCACTATAATATTGAGAAGATATTTGTGAAACATCTTCAGTTGTTCAGATGCGTATGATAATTTAAAATAAGTTAATCCTACAATCCAGCAGCCAAAAACCCTGAATAATTATGAATTTATAAGATTATTGAAGTTTGTTTGTTTTTAATAACAAATGGGGAATAATAATTGTAAAAATCCATATTAGGAATGTTAAATTTCTGAAAAAATAAAAAGAAAATGTTGAGACGAAAAAATCAAATCACCGACTGATGAAATCGCAACACTCTGTACACAGTAATATTAAGTTTGTTTAATACAAACCAGGTTTGAGGGATACTAAGTGTGTTGCAGAATTAGTGAATCATAATTATGTAGAGATAAAGGGGATACTTAAAGGAAAAAGGACAATAGCAGTTGTTCGACCATTTAAGCAGACAAGAATTTTGTAAAACAAAATTGAATACAATGTTAATATGCCTTTGTATTGTAAGGCGTACCACGAACGACTAGAAAATGTATAAAGCCATAGGACTAGTAAATTTGTTTAGGCAGGTTTTAACTTATCTTTGATTTTTCTTAGAAATTGAACAAATTTTTAAGACCCTTTATTAGGCAATGTTTGATTGGTGTGGTTTGGTAGAAGTGGGTTTTTGTGAGAACATTCAAATTCGATTGGTAGAAAACGGCTAAAATGAGAGGGATATTTGTGCATTTTGATTGGTTCAGAAAATATAGAGAGAGATTTGAGGGGTCGATGTGAGTCTGGTCAGGAGAATAAATAGGTATTGTGGTTTGAAGACCCAAAGACGACACTACAGTTTTTCTGATACGACGGTGTCAATCAGCAGAGTTTTCAAAAAGTAAATTTTGCAAAAAGGTGTGTTTTGTGTTTTGTGGAAAGATTTCCAACTTTGATAGCAGGAAAAAGAAGTTGAAGAAATAGATGATATACTGAAAGTAAAAAACATATGTATAGTTTATATTTGATCAAGTCGATTAGTTGGGATATCCTTGTGTCTGAAGAGAAGGATTTGTTCCTGTAGTTTAAGTGAGGAGTTGGGCAAAGATTAATGCAGTTGTAGAGTCGTTTTATCAAAAAAGAAAGGCAGAGGAGAGAGCAAGCGTATTTGGAGAAACTGGGAAGTACAACCGAACTGGACAGGTTACAATTGAAGGAGAACAAGGCGCTAAAATGATTATTTCAACTAATGTCTGACACATAGAGAAATGTTACATGCAACAATTTTTTCACATCATTTCTGTTGTTATTCCCATATGCAAATCGGAAATACTATACATAAATCAAAATATATAATTTTTCTTATGGAATCAACATTGCTTAATATATGTTAAGCATTCATACAAGTTAAATAAGAGAGTATCTTATGGGAGCAACAGTCAGTTTTTTGTATGATATTTTTTTATACAGAAAAAAATAATTAAGATTGTTTTACTTGTGTAAAGTCATTGTCTTCAGATCCTTCGGTGAAAGGAAAACCTCAAACTCCCTCTCTAATGTTTGTTTAATTTCCACCCCCGTTACTGAATCCATACCCAATTCAGGTAACGTTGCATGATGACTTACCACCTTCGAATCAGTAAGACCTAAAAAATAATAAAACAAATAAAAAAATATGTAACGTGTATAATTATGTAAAAATATGAATAGTTGGACTGTTTTAGAGCTGTAGAGGTCACTATAATATCCCCTTGTTATCTTAGATATTTGGGTTCTGCTTTTTTCTATTACACCTTGTTTATTTTCCATGTGTAGGATTTTAGTTCTTCTTAGGTGGGACTTGATAGATCTTAAGTTTCTGTTTTCTTCTATAATCTTCTCTATTCGTTCTTCTTGGTGCCGTTTGGGATCTTGTTTTATATGTCTTCTTATTTCTGTATTAAGGGTTTTGTATTCAGTTGTATTTCTTATCACATTACACCTATCTCTACTTCATTGGATCAAATCTATCTCCTCAAGAACTTCCCGTTTATTGTCAAACAACTACAATAGCAAACTTAAGTTCTCCATTCAACAATATATGATAGTTTCAACCATGTTCTACCATCCATCAATTAATAGAGTACCGGCATGTAAGTAATGTTTTATTTATTTGCTCATTTATTAATTTATTACAATCTAATAGACTATTTTATAACAATTTGTGGGTCTTACCTTGTCTGTTAAAACTTTTTATAACTTTTATACCTTTTTATTCATTTTGAAAAACCACAGACATGTAATATTAGCATAATTAATGTAATTTTATAACATCTACTTTGTTTATCATTATTAGACAACACCCTAATATGGGTTTTTATTATTTCAGCATTTGTTTAACTTTGTATCGAGACCTGAGGATGCTTTGCATATTGTAGAAAGCGAAACCGGTCGTCTGATAGTTAAATTAAATTGATTGTGAGTAACTCTTATTTATTATTTCTTTACCTATTTGAAATGGACTTACACAAGCAACACATTCATGATTTCAATATTCATAAGTTTTAAGACTTACCTAATATATTAGTTACGACGTCGACAATATTATCAGACGAACCTATACCACTAAGTTTTTCGGCAACCACCATACTCGAAACTACTGTGGCCTCTTTTTGTCTTAACAATGTATTTAAAACATTTAGACAATTTGAAATCTTTTGCTGTAGAGTTCCACCAATCTCTAGCTGCATGTGATTTGCTTGTAATTCTGCTACTAGTCCAACCTAGTGTGATGTAATAAAATAATTATTAAAATTTTTATATCTATAAAAAAGATTAGTATGAAATATGAAATATGAATGTGAAAATTAGTATGAAATATTATTTTTCTGCTCTCTTAATAGTAAATTGTATATTACCTACTATTTGGATGCTAAGTAAATGCATCATAACAGATACTGACACGTAATGACTAGCACGTAATAAAAAAATTACTCTTTAGTTTTATAAAAATTTGTAATATCACATAAGACTCGTAAGTCAGTTGGTGGAGTTACCATGGAAACGAATTAACAGACGTTATTTTGACAGATTAAAAATTATTAATCTGTCAGTGTAAATATAGTGGTAATTTAATTTTTATTTTTATAAACGAAACTAATCGTAGAAAAAGTATAATACACAACTTGAGTTGTAAGCTTATTACATGCCTGTAAAATTACTGCGCTCGCCGCTACGCGGCTCGCGCGCAACTTTTTTACTCGCATGTAATAGGCTTCTTACAACTCTCGTTATGTAATATACTAATTTTCTACTCTCTTACTAATAAATTGTATATTACCTACTATTTGGATGCTAAGTAAATGCATCATAACAGATACTGACACGTAATGACTAGCACGTAATAAAAAAAATTACGCTTCAGTTTTATAAAAATGTGTAATATCACATAAGCCTTGTAAGTCAGTTGGTCGAGTTACCATGGAAACGAATTAACAGACGTTATTTTGACAGATTAAAAGTTATTAATCTGTCAGTGTAAATATAGAGGTAATTTAATTTTTATTTTTATAAACGCAAATAATCGTAGAAAAAGTATAATAGACAACTTAAGTTGTAAGCTTATTACATGCTTGTAAAATTACTGCGCTCGCCGCTACGCGGCTCGCGCGCCAATTTTTTACTCGCATATAATAAACTGCTTACAACTCTCGTTATGTAATATACTATTAATATTTACCTACGTCAAGATTGTGTATTGTGTATTATGTAATATGCAGTAGTTGTTTAATTGTTTTGCAAACGTAAACATGAAATGGAAAGTGTCTTAATTTTGGACACGAGTGCTGAGTAGGCAGTTCATATGTGACATTTCTACATTTTATTAAAAAAATAGCTACTTATAATTAATAATAACCTATTACAGGCAACCCTACATTTCGATCCTGTTGTCTTTGTTAGACATATAGTTATTGTAAGTAATTAATTGTACCGTCAGTATTTAGTGAGTCAATTTTAAAACTTACAATGGGCTATATCTCATGAACAAAAGCTGATATTGAAAAATACTTAAAACCGTTTCTAGGATAGTAACGGGGAACTAAAATAACATAAAAGTGAGCTCACACCCTTCAACTTCTAGGCTCCACCCACCACAACCAAAAAAGTTTAAATTACAAACCCCCAGTTGTTATACATCATTGAAAAGACTATAAAAAAATAATATCCAATTTTATAAATACTAATTATACAGGGTAAAGCAATAATTATGAAACTTTAACTTAAATGGAAAATTTAATGAGGATTTTGTTGATTCTGTTGATTACAACAGAACAATTATACAACATGTTATTATCAGCCGACTTACCACATTTGTATTTGTAATGCTATCTCCCGGACTATTATTTTTAATGATAAGTGACCATATGATTTTGTTTGTTAAATAAAAGCTTAATTTGCAGTTTTTGCAAAACAAGTTAATAACGTCTGTTTTTTCGCCAAATTCAATACTTTTTGGTTTATTTGAGAAATTTAAATGTCATTAGTTTTCATCATTTGTATGATACCGTCATTTAGCTGTAGTTGTGATGATGGTTTACAGTATACCTGAACGCGTGGAGATCATTTTCATATTTGCCTCTCAGACCCAGTGTTATTTACGAACAGCTCAAATATTTCATGAAAGGCATCCGGACACAAATGTAAGTCACGTGTACGTCCGCGATTTGGTTGAAAAGTTTAGAGAAACGGGATCAATACCAAATAAAAACAGGGATGTCCCAAGATTTCCCAAAAACAGGACTTTCACATGAGTCGGTTAGAAAGGTATTAAAATTACATAAGTTTCACCCGTACTAAACACAAATTCTTCTAGAACTAGGCGATGATAATCTAGACCGACAAATTTAGTTTTGTGAACTCATTACTGATAAAATTCGCATTGAACCGAGGATGTAAAAAAATATTTGTTTCACTGATGAATGAACTTTTATGCTGAATGATAATGTAAATAAATAAAATTGTCGGTACTGGAGTGACGCGAACCCGCATATATTTAGAGAAGGTCACACTCAATATCCTGAAAAACTGAATGTTTGGGTAGGAATATTAGATGATGCTATAATTGGTCCCTTGTTCATACCAGGCAATCTAAGTGGCGACATTTATCTCGATATGCTGGAAAACACCATCGAGCCTTTAATTGTGCATGATTTAGAGAACCAAAAGGACGATCAAGGCAACCTAGCTCTAGACGAATATTTGCTGCACTTTCAACAAGATGGACCACCTCCTCGCTATGCAGCTCCAGTTAGGCACTGTTTAGATACTAATTATCCAAACAAATGGATTAGAAGAAGACGGCTTATTGAGTGGCCACCAAGGTTACCAGACTTACTGCCACCTGATTATTTTCTATGGGGTTACCTCAAGTCAGTTGTTTATTAAACGCAATCTGTAGTTCAACAAAAATCTCATTAAATTTTTCATTTAAGCCAAAGTTTCACAATTATTTACACCATTGGATAGCATTTTTTATAGTCTTTTTAATGATGTATCACAAGTAGGGGTTTGCAATTTAAACTTTTTTGGTTGTGATGGGTGGGGCCAGGGGGTTGATGGGGATGAGTTCTCTTTCATGTTGTTTTAGTTTCTCCTTACTATCCTAAAAACGGTTTCAAGCATTTTTCCATATCACCTTTTGTTCGTGTGATATAGCACATTGTAAGTTTTAAAATATCACATGTATGATTGGTTAGTTAGTTAAAAATGTATTATGGATCAGGTAAATAAGAAAAAGTTATGTTAGAAAGAGTTAGAAAAAAATAGAATGCAAGTAAACTTGTATTTTATTCTCTCACTAAACAAGTGAGGTTGCTTTTTAATTTTCACAACTGATATTGAAAACAATTTAAACTAATTCTTATTCTACATTCTACAACTATTCAATATTGCCTCAGATCCAGCATTTTCGTAATGACAATAAATTGTTTTTTATGCGTAATGTGATCAAGGAGCTCTAATATTTAATAAATCTTGTTAAGATAACCGAAAATAAATAAGTTTCATTAAGGCATTGTACTTAATGAAATTATAAATTATGACGATTAAATTAAAAATCAGGAAATATTTTAACTTACGTCTCCAATAGCTCCCCATTGAATAGCTAATGCTGGATACCCTTCCTTTTTCCTTAATTCGCATATTCTTTCCATAATAGAATTTGCCATTCCATAATTAGTTTGTCCAGCGTTGCCTCTACCACATGAGACCGATGAGAAAACCACAAAATCTCTATAAATTACAAAAGGAAATAACAGTTAAAAAATACAAGTGATTGCAGTACAGCGTTATTTTAAAAACTTACTTTAAAGTAAAAACTTTCTGCGCAAAATGGTATAAATTTATTATAAATTAAAAAAAACATCCGAAATATATTAGTTTTAGAACATTTTCAGCCCTATCGGACCATCAATGAAAATGTATCAATCAGTAGTTGAAACTAGCCACATAACGAGGTCAGATGATCCTTAAATTAAATAATTAAGTAATTTTATAGCAGATGAATCAGTTTCCACCTCCATCGTAAACTAGATATAAGAATGTATACCATTCAGATGGTCTTGAAAAGACACCAAAGCATTCCTGCCATGGATCCAAATGACGAATGTATCGTCAACATATCGTAGAAAAATGTGGGTGTGAGCATTGATGTGGATAGTGCTCTGGTCTCGAAGTATTCCATAAAGATATTGGTAATTACTGGAGATAGTGGGGAGCCTACTGAGGTTTCAATCACATTAATAGGAGCATACACAGACATCAATCTTCCATTCAATCTCAACCCAAAGACTCTGGCCCTCATCATATGAAAGCTTTTCTTCCTTACATCAAAGGTGTCACCGAAAAAATCGACAAAATTCTTAAATGAAGAGGAATGAAGACAATATTCACTCCCCAACAAAAAACTTTCATCTCTTGCTTAATTAATAAAAAGAAACATTCCAAATGAATAACACGAAGTTTAAGAAATTCCTTGTGCAGACTGCCCCCGATCTTATATAGGCCAAACAAATCGTAGAATCTAAAATAGGATTTATGAACATTCCATTTCTATTCGCAATTCTAATTTAATTTCAGCTCTAAGTCAACACCATCTTTATAATGGTCACAAAATTGATTGTGAAAACTCCAGAAACATAGACCCCATCCGCTTCTATAAACCAAATAGAAATAGAAAAAAGATTCAATTGTCTCAATAAAACAGATGACGGCATACGGTTACCTTATCTATCATATATATATATATATATATATATATATATATATATATATATATATATATATATATATATATATATATATATATATATATATATATATATATATATATATATATATATATATATATATATATATACCAAGGTTTAAAAATTTTAAAAACAGATACTTACTCTAATTTCGGACACATCTCTCTTGATAACCTATCCAGATATTGTGTCGCAACGGCCTTTGGACCAAGTGACGTTTTAAAAGACTCTATAGTTTGATTTTCAAAAACTGAGTCCGCCAAAACAACACCTAAATTAAAGATTGCATGGACGTCTCCTAATAGATTGGCTGTTTGCAGTAGATTTCTGCAACCTTCTTCAGTACAAACATCGTCTTGAGATATATGGACATATGTACCATACGATTTCCAGAGACTTAAAAATAATTATCGCTAATTAACATGCTAAAAATAATTTACAACAGAAATAAAAGAAATTAATTACTATTTAACTGGGAATAACCCACAATAGAGGTAAAAAATACGTTTATTGGCGTTTCAATTTCCACTTCGGAAATCGTTCTCAAAATACAAACAGTAAATTATTCAATTTTTAAGAAATAAAGTTTCAAGAAGACATCTGCCAAATATCACCACATGTGTGTGTACCTAAGATAAGGGTTTGCATTCCATACGCAGACAGTCGAGGTTCGTCTTCGAAACGACATACACGTGGTTTGCTGTGGGGTTGTGCATTCTAACACTCAACTTCGCTTGAGCCTTGTAAAAAAAGGCGAGTTTTTGTTTTTGGATTCCTGAATTTTCACCGGACTAGAGTGTTCGCAATCCCATCGTACCAGGAATTGTTTCATTGGGTAAAGTACATATACACAGTATATACAACATTATTTATTGTTGGATGGGCAACATTATATATATATATATATATATATATATATATATATATATATATATATATATATATATATATATATATATGATCTTTTACATCTGATCATTCAGGGAAAGATCCAAGGTAATCGTGCTCCTGGTAGACGAAGAACATCATGGCTGAAAAATCTAAGGCAATGGTATGGAAAATCAACTACATCGTTATTTAGAGCTGCTGTCAATAAAGTCACGATAGCGAATATGGTAGCCAACATGATATTCAACGATCGATAACGGTAACGAAGCTAGAAGAAGAAGAAGGGGTAATCATCATCATCAGTGGTGCTACAGCTCTAGTTGAGCCTTGACCTTCCCCAGTCTATTTCGCCAGTCGTTTCTGTTCATCGCCAACCGTTGCCAATTTGCCGCGCCGATTTTCCTTGCGTCCTCGTCCACACCGTCCCTCCATCTCAGTCGTGGTCTGCCTCTACTCCTATTTCCCACTGGGACCGATAATAGAGTTCGTCTGGGTGGGTAATTTTCATTTGCTCTTGACACATGTCCAGCCCATCTAAGCCTACCTATTTTTATGAAGGATATTACATCTTTACCATTTACTATTTTTTTATACTTCTCGTACAATTCGAAATTATATCGCCTTCTCCAAATACCATTCTCACAGAATGCGCCCATTATTCTAATTAGTATCTTCCTTTCGAAGACGAGCAGAAGATTTGGGTCTGTTTTGGAGATGGTTCATGTTTCTGACCCATATGTCAGCACTGGTAGGATGAGTGTTCGATATATAGTTTGGTTTTCTGGCTTAAATTTCTGTTTTTTAGCTGCTTACTTAGTCCAAAATAACATTTGTTTGCTAGCAGTACCCTCCGTTTAACTTCTTCAGATGTGTCATTATCGTTTGTTATGAGAGAACCCAAATATGTAAACTTATTTACTAACTCAAAATTATATTGGTCTATACTGAAGTTTTGTTCGGCGTTTCTAGCTCTATCTCTGTTATTTGGAATAGATGCTAACATTTTGGTTTTTTCCTCGTTTATTTTAAGGCCCATATTTTGTGCGGCTGTCAAGCTGTCAAGGTGGAAGTCATCTCTTTAAGTCCTCGTGTAGTACGTGCGATCAAATCCAGATCGTCAGCGTAAGCCATAATCTGCGTTGATTTATTAAAGATTGTTCCCCTATTGTGTAACTCGGCATCTCTTATAGTCTTTTCTAACGCTATATTAAAGAGAAGGCACGCCAGCGCGTCTCCCTGCCGTAACCCTGCATATGTTTGCATATTGTTGTTGTGAATTTGGTGCATAATGCTGTTACCTCCATGTTTGATGAGCTCTGTGGGGATACAATTCACTTCAAATATTGAAGGAGGTTCTACGTGAGTGTTATTTCTTGGTCTTTGGGGTGACGCATCATTTTCCACTTCGGTACCAAGTAGTTCTTTAAAGTGCTCAACCCATCTGCTTTGTGCTGCGTCAGCGGTACTGACTATATGTCCATTTTTGTCTCTACACATCGTCAGCCGTGGTTTAAATTCTTTTCTTGTCTTATTTAAGATATTATAGAACTTTCTAGTTTCATTTTGCCCCTTTAATGATTGAAGCTCTTGCATAATCTGGTTTTCGAAGGTCCGCTTTTTCCTTCGATGTATGCGTTTTTCCTCCTTCCTAAGATCTTTGTACATTTGCTCCTTATCCCGTGTTCTTCTTTGTTGCATAAGTTTATATGCATAATTTTTTCTTTTAGTGATATCTTCATATTCATCGTCGAACCAACTGTTGCGTGGAGTGGATTCTTCTGGTCCTAGGACGTTGTTTGCCGCTTCCTTAATTGTTCTTCTACATATATCCCATTGCTCACTAGCTGTTAAATTCTCATCTGTTGTGCTTTCATGTTCAAGGTAATTTTGATACCTTTCTAGTGCACGGGGCTCTTTCAAGAGTTTTAAATTGTAGCGAGTACTTTTCTTACCCTTTTCTTTTTTTGCATTTGAGATTCTTGCTCTTATTTTTGCGCCTACTAAGAAGTGGTCTGAATCTATATTAGCTCCACGATAAGTACGTACATCCATTAGATTAGAGAAGTGCCTGGTTTCTATTAGGATGTGATCTATTTGATTTTTGGTTGTACCATCAGGCGACGTCCATGTTACTTTATGAATATTCTTATGGGGGAAGTAGGTACTTCCAACGACCATGCCCTTGGATGCTGCAAATCCTATTATTCTATTTCCATTGTCGTTGGTGACGTCATGAGCGCTGCATTTTCCGATGTATGGACTATATATATTTTCTTTCCCTATTTTTGCATTAAGATCTCCAATTATGATCTTGATGTCGTTTCTGGGACATCTATCGTAGATGGTCTCTACTTCCTCATAGAATTGATCTTTGACATCCTCTTCTTTGTCTTCGGTTGGGGCATGTAAATTTATGAGACCGATGTTAAAAAACTTACCTCTTATTCTTAGGTAACATATTCTTGGACTTATTGGTTTGAAGTCCATAATAAGATGTTTTACTTTTTTGTTAACAATGAATGCGGTCCCGAATTCGTGATTATTCTTGTGACAGCTGTAATATATATCTCATTGTCTCTTTTGGATAATTCCTTGGCCAGTCCATCTTACTTCTTGCACAGCAGTAATGTGTGCTTTATATTGAGTTAGTATGTCTATTAATTTTTTAAGATTTCCAGGTTCATAAAGTGTCCGCACATTCCACGTGTAAATTTTTAAATCTTTGTTCTTATTTCGTTGCATTGGTCGTCGTCGTAAGTTCCGTCCGGTTTCTTTAGCTGTAGATCTCGTAACGATATTTTTTTTACGGGGTAGAGTTGTTAGCCCTAAGCCCAACCTCCAAGCTGGAGGGCCAGGGACTCTTCTGTTAGGGTTACCATACCGTAGTCCGTTTTGGTTCACGGGTGGTATTTTATTTCCCACCTACCCGCCGGTCCTAGGACCGGTTAGGGCGTTCCCTATCCACCACCTGGGGACGCGTCCGATGGGAGACAGACAACTCCACACGGAGAAGAAGAAGGGGTAATTACGTATTTTGTGCCCAAATATCTCATATTGTATCGCGATTTTTGAACTTTTTACATTTGTTTGCGACTTTATTGTATTGTGCTGAACTTTATATTTCAGTGTGTCGTCCGTTGAAAATATTTACGTTTGCTTACAGATATTTGACTGTATCCGTAATTATTATGGACTTATCTGCATTAATAATTTTATTAATTTATTATTAATTGACAACTTATTCTATTGTACTAATTTCACTATTCTTTTGTGCCTTTGAATTTACTAATTGCATTAACTTTATTATTAATTTAATGTGCATTTTATTACTGGATATATATTTTTTAATTTTGTTTATTGAATTGTTTTTATACCATTGGTATAATTATGTGAACTCTATAGAATATACCAGGAACCAAATATCGTAAAACACATTAAGATAGGACGTCTGAGGTGGGTAGGCCATGTAATGCGGATGGAGCAAACCGACCCAGCTTATAGAAAAACGCTCCTTGATAGACCTATTGGTCAAAGAAAAAGAGGAAGACCCAGAACAAGATTCCTAGATAACATAGACCAAGATATGAAAAATATGGAAATACGTGCTTGGCGGAGGAAGGCGATGGATAGGGACGACTGGAAGAGAATTCTTGGGGAGGCTAGGACCCACACAGGGTTGTAAAGCCAAAATGATGATGATGATAATTATATGTCAATATTTTTATGTTTATAACGTGGTATATATCCGAAATTATTTTACTGCTTTCGGTCAGTAGTTTTTTTTTATATTAGAATCGACATTTTTGTTTTGGTTGGTTTATGGTTGTCTTTTGGTATGTCGTTTCGTATTGCGTAATTTTAAGTTTGTATATTCTTCTTTAATTATAATGGTATATTTGGTTATGTATATTTATGTTTAATTTACAGCTTTTTAAAATAGAGTTTTATACAGTCCACTACTTTTCATTTCTCTTCTTTTATTTGAATATACATACCCATTTCGAAAGGAGGAGACCAGCGAGTTCTAGATTGAACAGAAGATCTTCTCTTCCCTTTCAGGATGACCCCAATTGATATATTGAGGTCATCGTATGTGCAGAACGCAACATACGTTATTATAAAGTATGATCATAGCGGTGGCATTTCATGTTCCCAAAGTTATACAGAAAACTTTGAACTGGAAAACAAGGAGTACAACAGGTTCAGACTATTACTACAACTAAATGTCCCAGAACAGAGGTGTATCAGAAGAAAGTTGAAAATGTTACAACCTTCAGCTTCCTAAAGGAAGATGATGTAAACTTTATTAAATATGAAATGTTAAATGGATAGTTTATTAATGTATTAAAAATGTATAATGTAATGTATTAAAAAAGTATTTAATTCTATAATACTTCTTTTTCTTCACATGCAAAATAATTTCAATCAAAAATCTCCTGTTCTATCTAAAAAGGGCATATCGCAGCTTTTTGTATAGCAAATTGCTTTATAGATAAATATTGTTAGTGTCTAATAAGCATTCTCAATTTTTAAACAAAAAATTAGTATCTATAGCAAAGAAGTTAAAATTTCAAAGTGGTTTTTCTCAAAACCCTTTTTTGTCGTGTGTGCCCTTCTTACGTAGATTGCCTCAATTGGTTTAACTATATAGAAAATAGTCGTGTAGCATACCAAAACTGAATATAGTTAAGATTACCTGATTCTTAAACTTTGATATCCTGTAGTGACACCTTTTCTTGAGACAAGTACCAAATTTTTGGCTCCTCTTAGTACTAACCAGTCAGCTAACTCTAATCCAAATCCTCCTAGACCACCGATGATTATATAGCTTTTTTCTGGATGGCAGAAATATCTAAAAGAAATTTACAATTATTCACAAATAAATTTTTCCTTTTATATTTTACTTATATTTATTATTAAACGGTAATTATACGAAGATTGCTTTGTAATTATACATTGAAACGACTTTTATAGATTTTGGTATGTATGTATGCTTTCATTACGGAGACCATCGCATCGTATCCTCGCTTAGAGCATAGCACTTACTGAGAACGCTAAAAATTAATATAAAATGCATTTATTTTACCTGCCATTAATACGATGGTAATAGACTTTGCAACGCCCCACAACCTACTAATAAAATCGACAATGTTCGAACACAAGAAAATATACAAACAAACATGGGTCTCCAACGACGGCGTCACAAGAAATCAGATCGACCATGTTCTAGTAGATGCCAGGAGGGGTAGTAACTGTTTAGACGTAAGAAGCCTAAGAGGAGCTGATGAAGACGTGGATCATTTTCTGGTAAAATTGAAGATAGGGACAAGAATAGCGTCCAAAATAACACACAAGAATACACCAACACAATTATGGAATACCGACGTTATAAGGAGACAGAACAGAAATTACAAATACTATAAAAATCGCTTTAACACAGACAAAAGACTACAATAACATAGACTCAGCTTGGAAAAATATCAAATTAGCTCTGACAAGGGTATCAGACGAAATACTAGGACACAAAAAGAAAACAACAAAACAATAGTTCGATGATGATTGCCTAAACTCTATAACAGCAAGAAATATGGCTAAAAGGAAATGCTACAAAACCCCTCGCGCAACGACAATGAAATGTATAGACAAAGAAGAACAGATGAACAAGAAAACTAATGAAAAGGAAGAAGAGGGAGTATCAGGAACAAATAATCAGATATATAGAAGAAAAATTCATTTCCATTTGTCCATTTGTCCAACAAATGGATTAGAAGCAAAACGAAAGTAAAAGACGCAGGAGAACATGCTGCCAAATTAAAATTGAGCTTCGCAGGACACAATGACCAACTGAAGGATAGGAGATGGAACCATAAAATACAACAATGAAGACCATGGTTAGGTAAGAGAAGCAGAGGAAGACCACAAATGAGTTGCTTCCAATCAAAAACACTAGCTGCTAAAAATAAAGGAACTGCACCAGGTTATGTCAGACCGTGGAGTTGAGGTGCCTACATTGTAAAAAATGTCATGCGCTCTTCCCTCCATGCTATGGCATGCTGGACGAGCCATACAGTCTGTAGTCAATACCCCGAGGTATGAGCGGGAACACAAAGTGTATTAATACTCATACGCTTATGAAACGCACCTGGCGCATCATAAGGGCCTTCACATTTCACTCTTTTTCAACTTGTCTTGAGTGAAATGTCTTTAATCTTTTCTATAGGCCTCTCTTGGCTAACTCTTGTTTCTTCCGACCCCGAATGGCTATTAGGTTTCCGAGGGCAGACGGGTCACTATATTTCCTTCTATTACACACTCTAGGAAGGCAACGGGAAACCACCTAGAGCCTAATTTTCCCAAGAAACAATCATGGAAATGGCTGATAAATACAACGGCCCCGAGTACGGGCGCTCCTTAAATGGAGCAGGGGTGCTAAGAATCTCCCGGTCAGCTAGAAACATGAACACATTTTCTAAAGAAAGAAAAATAGGTACATGGAATGTAAGAAGCATGTACGAACCAGGAAAAATTCATAACACCATTAAAGAAATGAAGCGTCTAAATATAAGTATCCTTGGAATAAGTGAAATGAGATGGCCGGGGTCTGGAAAAGTAACTGTAGATGACCACATTGTATACTATTCAGGAGAAGACAGCTCAAAACACAAAAATGGTGTAGCAATAATTGTGTCGAAGGAAACAGATGAAGCTGTAAAAAACGTCGTCCTATTCTCAGACAGGATACTGATGATACAAATACAATCAACAACAATCAATGTGAACATATTACAAGTATATGCACCCACACAAGACTATGAACAAGAAGAAATTGAAAAATTCTATCATGATTTAGAAAAAGTATTAGCACCTACAAAGAAACACGATCTCAATATTATCATGGGAGATTTTAATGCAAAGATTGGTGAAGGTGAACAGGAAGATGTCATAGGGAAATATGGTCTGGGAATACGAAATGAAAGAGGAGATATGTTGGCATCTTTTTGCGTAGAAAAGCAATTAGTAATAATGAACACAATTTTCAAACTTCCAAAACGTCGTCTTTACACCTGGAAATCACCAGCAGATACACCTGAACGAGTTATTCGTAACCAAATAGACTTCATATGTATAAATAAGAGATACAGAAATTCAGTATTATCAGTAAAAATATATCCAGGAGCAGATGTACCAACCGATCACAATATTTTAGTAGGAAAAATAAGACTGAGATTAAAAAGAGTTGCAAGGACGAATAAGCAAACAGTTACTATTGATAGAGAAACGATGCTAAATGATACTCTAAAACAAGAAATAACTAGTATATTAGAACAAAAGATGAAGTTAACATCAAGCAAAGAAGAAAGTACTGAGGAAAACTGGACAAGAATTAAAGACATCTTAAAGACTGTTCAAGAAACAACATTGAGTGCGCTAAAAGCAAGAAAAAAACAAGGGTGGATGACAGAAGAAATACTGAGACTTATGGATCAAAGAAGAGAAGTCAGAAATAAAGATAAAAACGAATACAAGAGGATCCACGCAATAATCAGGCAGAAGATAAGACACGCGAAAACACAATTTCATAGTAAAGAATGTAATGAAGTTCAACAATATGAAAAGAAACACGATACATTACATCTGCACAAGAAATTGAAAGAGGTCGCTGGAAACAAATGGAAACAAGTATCCCAAAGTTTAGAAGACAGAAACGGACACAGAATATTAGACATCAATGAAAAGTTAAAAGAATGGGAAAACTACATTTCTGAATTATTTGAAGATGAGAGAGTAGAACACTATACACCGATTGCTATATCAGGTCCATCTATAACAGAAAGTGAGGTAAGACGTTCAATACAAACGGCAAAAAATGGAAAAGCACTTGGCCCCGATGAAGTAAGTGCTGAAATACTAAAGTTTTTGGGAGAAAATGGAATTAAAGCTCTGTGTAATCTCTTTAACAGAATTTATGACACTGGGATATTACCAACTGATTGGTTAAAGTCGACATTTGTCACAATACCTAAGAAACATCGTCCAAAGACATGCGGTGATTATCGGACAATAAGTCTGATGAGTCAGGTTTTGAAAATCTTTCTGCGAGTAATACACAGCAGAATTTATACGCTGTTAGAGGACAGAATTAGCAATACTCAATTTGGGTTTAGGAGTGGCTTGGGTACAAGAGAAGCCTTGTTTAGTATACAGGTGCTAGTACAGAGATGCAGAGATATAAATCAAAATGTGTATATTTGTGCAATCGATTTTGAAAAAGCTTTTGACAAAGTCCGACATAACAAAATGTCATGAACAAGAACTGTCGGATGAAATAAATATAAAAAGAGGAGTGAGACAAGGCTGTATATTGTCGCCTTTACTTTTTAACTTATATTCGGAGGAAATATTTAAGGAAGCCTTAATGGAGACAACCGAAGGTATTATTGTGAATGGAGTAACCGTCAACAATATTAGATATGCCGACGATACCTTAGTCCTTGTCAATTGTGGAGAAGACCTTCAAAATCTAATGAACAAAATAAAACAGACTTGTGATCAGTATGGACTAAAACTCAACGTTAAGAAAACTAAATATATGATAGCAAACAAAATTATATACATGATGACGGTATAAAAGTCGGAGATGCCACACTGGATAGAGTAGAGAAACTCGTGTATCTCGGCAGTAATATCAATGAGAGCTGGCATCCAACCGCAGAAATTAAAAGCCGAATAGAACAAGCCCGAGCTGCCTTTGTAAAAATGAGAAACGTACTTTGCAGTCATGATCTTAGCATTGACCTTAGAGTTCGTATGATATCTTGCTACATCTTTCCTGTTCTGCTGTATGGAGTAGAAGCGTGGACCCTAACTGAGGCTATGCTTAAACGCTTGACAGCCTTTGAGATGTGGGTATACAGACGACTACTGAAAATACGCTGGGTCGACAGAGTTAGAAATGAGGAGGTCCTTAGACGGCTGAACCAAACAACACAATTGGTCAATATAATAAAGAAACGCAAGCTGGAATACTTCGGTCATATTATGAGACACCCTGAAAAATATGATCTTTTACATCTGATCATTCAGGGAAAGATCCAAGGTAATCGTGGTCCTGGTAGAAGAAGAACATCATGGCTGAAAAATCTAAGGCAATGGTATGGAAAATCAACTACATCGTTATTTAGAGCTGCTGTCAATAAAGTCACGATAGCGAATATGGTAGCCAACATGATATCCAACGATCGATAACGGTCATGGAACTAGAAGAAGAAGAAGCACCAGGTTACAAAAAATGCAAAGAGAGAGTCACAATCATGATTTGCAACAATGCTTCTGATTCATTAAAATTTTTTTATTATTGAGTTAATGCCTCGACAACTAAGATCATTGGCATGATACAGTCAGGTACCTAGTGTATAGAGACGCTAATTGTATCCGAACGTCTGCGGTCCGTCCGAAATTAAAACTTCTTTTAATCGGAAAATCCAAAAATCCAAGAGCATTTAAAAATGTCCAAATAAATTGCTTACCTACAATCTATAGCAACCAACGCAATGCATCAATGACTTTGTGCCAGTCATTGATGCCTACCTAATAAACAAAAATCTGTCCTGGAAAGCTTTGTTGTTGTTGGACAACGCACGATCCCACCCAGATGCGAGTGAATTGATTAGTATTAACAAAAAATAGGTTAGTCTTCGTAAATGGGTATATTTATTTAAAAACCTTTAAAAGGGCTACATCAAAAAAACAAACGTTTTCGGACTCATGCAACCCCTAGACCACGGCGTTATAGAAGAAATGAAGAGAAATTTTCGGCGGAAGCTTCTTCAGGTAGTGCTAACTAAGCTGGAT